GACCCGTCCGACAGCACTTGAAGTAGCCAGAACCACCAACCCTACACGGTCCCTCGTGTGCCTTGTTGTACTTGCCACAGTGACTACGACCCTGATGACCTCTCGATCTGGAATCTGATACCTTAGGCCTCTTCACCGAACCCCCTGATGTATGAACCTCATCTGACTTCCTCTTCCTCTCCATCTCCAGGTCAATCTCCCTCTCTCTAGCATGAGGTATCATATCCTCCAGTGTCTTGTAGCTGGATTGGCTCACAAACTGCCGAATATCGCTCCTCAATATCTCATGATATCAAGCCTTCTTCATCTCCTTATCCTCCATATACTACGGAACCAGAAACGCCCTCTCTCGGAACATCGCGGTGATCTCAGCCACTGTCTCCGTAGTCTGGCGGAGATCCTAGAACTATAGCGCCGACTACTGCAACTCAATCACCACTGCGAACTCAGCTCAAAACCTAGTCGATAAATCATCCCATGACATCACATCAAAATCATCATCACCTTACATGTCCTACCTCCTCCCATCAGTCTCTTTCCCTGTCCTTCAAAAGGCAGAAAGCTAGTCTGACCTTGTCCCGCTCGGGACAACGACTGGTGCGAAAGGTGTTAGAAACATCTGCTAACCACCGTCGAATCGCTATGGGGTCCTTCTCTCCATGATAGTCTGGAGCTCCACATGCCCAAAACTCCCTGAATGTCAAATAACGTGCTCCTGCTAGTGTCATCATCTCAGAATGAAACGAGCTCAACCGATCATCCAAAACCTCTAGAATACCCTCCTTGACCGTGCCGACAATCACAAGAGTCCAATCTTGAATTCAACGAGCAATCTCAGACGAGATGAACTCCTTAGTTTGCTCATCAAGCTTCCCGACTCCAAATCCTGAGCTTGAACCCTCACTGGAACCATAACTGCCAACAAGTCTGCCTCTCAATGTCACTATACTGAAAAATAGACCATATAAACCATCAGAATACGCATTGAAATATATATATATATATATATATATATATATATATATATATATATATATATATATATATATATATATATATATATATATATCGGGGAATCAAAAACTCCACAAGCTTCCTGGCTTCATCGCAACACTCCTCGATCGAGTACAAACCTCATGGCTATGATCGGGTCCTGAAATCCATCAAATTTTGGGGGCTTCATATTGTTAAAGACCCAATACTTGAAAACTCTTCCAGGTCCAACCCCAGCAGCAACAACGGCTGCGGTGGCTGCAGCAACAACAACCTTAGACAATGCAACATAATGCTCGTCAATACACTCCACCATGGTGGTCTTAATAAACCCGAACATCTTTGGAATCTGTGCTCGAAAATAAGAAACAACCTTCTCCTGAAGGATCTCCCTAATCCTGTCCCCAGACACAGTTGGCCCATCCTGGCTGCCATCTCCCGATCCTAATGTGGATCCTGCCTTAACTCGTCTCATCATCACCATACTGAAAATAAAAGAGGTAGATATCAGATAACACACATATCATATCAGGGGAACCAACTCCCAGCAAAGCCCTTAGGTTGCGACTTCTTGTTACGTGTACGAGTCCTATGCTTTCAGTAGTACGGCCCCATAGTACCTTCCACACCTACTCGTATATGTCTCAGAGGATCATCACAACAACCCTAACAATACTCGTTATCATATGCATACACTCAATCCTCACTCCATAGAGGAAGGCTAAACATCATGAAACTGGCCGACTTACCCCACACAACTTGTCTATGAAACATCCACCAACCCTAAACAACTCGTGTATGCTAATCATACATAACACTGGACCATATAGACAATCAAGTATCTGATCCTACCCTAAGCCCTTCATCAAACAAGAACAAGAAATAAGGCCAAGCCAAAAATTATCAGGCTATAGAATCTTAGTTATGTATAACCATGATGCATACACTAACCAACTATAGTAATGATATCAATTTCATATAAGGAAGAACCTTAGGCTATCAGACATCATATAATCAGGCAGTTCTATCATGAAATCCCTGAAGATCCCTAACCTATCACTGACATGATGTTCTAATATATCACAAAATCAAATAACAGTGTGGTAATTTGGGGTCTACTGACTGGCTCCGGCTGATCCTACACATCACATCCTCTTTGATTATTTTGAAAACAATTTGAATATCATTTTTAAAATTTTTCCCTTAGTTTGAGACTGGATTCACATGAGTGTTCCTCTAATTCACTCAAACCGATGCTCTGATACCAACTTGTAACACTTATAAAAATCATGATAAATTTAAACTTTTTTTTTTCAAAACCAACCAATTTCACAAATTGTTTATAAACATAGTTTTCAAAACATATTCAACATTAGATTCTCCCAAAATCATAATTCAAAACATGAGGATGTGTATGGGCATGCCCTTGCCTTCCCGCGATCATCCGAAGTACCTGAAATACAACCCAAAACTGTAAGCCAACGCTTAGTGAGTCCCCCAAAGTACCAACACATAACATAAGCATAATACACACATCATGCAAACTGAGCTTTCAGACTAACTGAAACGTTCCACTGGCCTACAGACTATCTGGTACGCTCACACAACCTTCAACATGACTGGTACGCCTCATCAGGCCTTTAGCTTATGCGGAACACTCTCCGGGCCTTCGGCCTGACTGGTATGCCTCATCGACCTGCTGTCTATTCGGAACGCCTTGGGTCTCTTGGCCTTAAGCCTACACTTGTACGCTGCAACCCAACCACACATAATCCATGTCGACATATACATAACAGATAAACATACATATAACTTGTCAACAGACATTCAGAGAGATCTTAAAGATCACTACAACACATCATCATCCTCTCTACCAAGATACAGATCTAACATATCACTACAACATACAAACCTGTGATAAACCAGGATATCAATCTAATGGGCCGGCCTTGGTGCCTTCAATCTAAAAGTACAATGAGAAAAACTCACATTTCAAACTGAACAGAAGCTGATGAGGTCTCAACTCTCTAATCGGAACCTAATCCCACCAACATCCAATTCCATCAAAATCCCAAAATACCCTCATGGTCAAACTTGGTCAAAGTCAAAGTCAAGTGGTCAAACCCATTAAGTCAACTGAGTTAACCCAACTGAGTCAACTCATCCGGTCTGACCCAATGCGAGTATATGGGGCGTACTCTAGAGGTACATTGAGCATACTCCAAACCCTCGTAGTTGACCACCATCGGGGTGGTTGACCTCATACGCAGGACGTACACCGAGTACGTGAGGCGTACTCTCGCATCCTTCAAAACACAATAAGTGCTTAATGACTTAAGCAATTACATCCATATTTCAGATCCAAGGCCCAAATACACTCTAGAGTCATAAATTTTCCAACTTTATGACTTTACATGCCCATTAAGTTCTTAACTCAAGGTATTAATCCATTAAGACCTTCTACAAGATGCATGGAGCAAAACTAACCTTTCGGACTTCATATTTATGACTTAGAACCCCTCTTATGGTCTGAAAGGACAACTCAAATCGTCAAGAACATGCCATGCTCAAGATAAGACATTTAGGACCAAAAAGTATCACTAAAACATCCATTTCTAGATCTACATGATTAAAAGATCAAGTTGCAAGCTTTATGCCTTTGAAATGTTGCAAATGAAGAGTATATCCCAGATCCAAAGTGCTTTACTCTCCAGAGATGATCTTGAATTCCTTCCTTCTTCTTCTAAGCTCAAAAATACACACTTTTGGGATAGAAATGGCTTCTCAATGAGAACTAGGACTTCAAACACGAATGATAGGGTGGAGGTTGATAAGGTGAAGGGAAAGGAGGACATAAGGATGCTTAAATACCAGTTAAACCCTAAAAATTAGGGTTTCCTCATTTAGTGAGTATGCCCAACGTACACTGATGTAAAACCAGCGTACACGACGTACGCATGGCGTACTCCAAAGGTACCTAATTACAACAATGCCCTTCTACCTATTTAGCATACAATTCTTGAACTTTTGGACCAAATGCAATATAAATGAATTTAAGGGGGTTTAATTTAGAAGTTCCTCACATAGTGTAACGCCCGCGTTTCCAGGCTAGGCATTAATGTTTGATGTAATAGTCTAGGTTAACCCTTGTAACTTTTTTGAAGTATTAACGATGAAATATTTGAATATTATGTGAATTATGTGTTTATTTTCTTAATTATTATAATTTAATGAATTAAGAATAAAATAAGCATCAAAATTAAAGTGTGAGATAAGCCTGATATCTTTACACGAAGATGTAGTGGTTGAGATGAGGTTTCCGAAAATATAAAGAATGTTGAAATCCGAGTTCACTACTAGAAAACAACCCTTTAATGACGCGCAAACAATGACACGCGTTGATAGAGGACGCGCATTCGTGCGTACCCTAAAAAATAATGTCAAATATGCAAAATTTGAAGGATAAAGGGCACGCATTTGTGCGTGCCCTAAAATTAATGTTCAAAAAAGAAAAATTACAAACACGGAGGGCACTTATGTTAAATCTGTGTGTCATTTACAAATGTCGCTTTATAATTTTTTAATTAGAAGTGCGTTTTTAAGGGGGAAAAATGAAAAATCTCTAAACTTCTAAAAAATTTAGGTGCCCGCTTCTGCACTCTATCCTCTTGATCTCCTTCCATTCTCTCCCTCTATTCTCTGTGCAAACCCTAAGCCATCGCCATCTTCCTTCTATCTAGGATGTGCTAGGGTTTTATTTTATTTTAAGCTTAACTTCTCCTGATTTACTCTCTCTCTACCCCGTACTGCTCGACAACCAACCATCACCCTTCGTCTTCTCTCTGGTTCACCACCGTCTCCAATAAAGCCCCAAATACCACCGACACAACATACCGCAAGATCACCACCCCTCTTTCGCACCAACATCGTTGGTTAATAACACCACCATTTGTATAAAAACCCTAGAACCATCAGAAATCGAATGTTGCAAGTCAGATTTGGGATCGACTCTCTCATGTATTGTGGTTCAACTCTCTCCATCTGCTCTCATCCAAAACCAACCGCAAACACAGGTGGCTATGTGCTGCTTCGCAGGCGGCTGTTTTTTTTCTTCGTCATTGCAGTATGTGAGTTCAGGTCGGCGACATTTGAAATTCCAAACATTTGGAATAAAAAATGCTTCGGCTTCGTCTGGGCGGTCGGGAAGAGCTAGGAAAGTTTATACGGAGTCGCAATCCGAAGCAATGCCTTCAACCTCCTTTCCGGTGAAGGAGATTGCTTCTTCTGTGTTGCCAGTCCGTTCCTTCATTGTCGTCACTTTTGGTATTGCTTTTAATTGCCACATATTTCTATTACGTTTTCTTGTTTATATCGTTTTTGAATGCACTACATCCATTCCATATGAGAGTAGAATTTTTGCGCATTTGAACAAAATTAAGTATATCTATAACAATGAAACAAAAGCAGGATCTGTGTAACTTCTCAATGGATCACTAATTTATGCCTTCAGCTGACAGTTATGTGGAAATTGGTGGAGAAACTGATGATGCCTAAGAAATCAAAAGCTCCTGTACAAAGGCCATTGCTTAGTTGTGGATTAGTCTATGCTTACAAGAGAGTCTCTTCCTGTTTTTAAGGAAGAAGGGCTTTTTAAATGAGGTAATATTCTTTCAGCATTTGGAGAAAAATTTGATCTTTGACTGTGATTACGTGTCAACTCATCTGTGATTTCTTCCTACACGGATCTTCATTTACATATGGTAACCATATATAATTTTTTGTTTGTTTTTGTGATTTTCTCATGTATTAATAATTAATTAGTTTAGTTTGCTTAAAATCTCAAGTATATCATGTTATTTGTGGTTACTCTTGTTTTGGTTATGTTATGGCCTACAAATGGGTTGAAGATTCAACTACATATTGGTGAGTTGATGAGTGATATGTTAGGCATCTTCAAAAGTAGCAAAGAGAAAGATCAAAGATGAAAACTGTGAGTATGAGATGGTTTGGGATGCAGAACGGTCGGTGCATTTAATCAAGAAAGCCTCAAAGATCGTGCCTACACATTCAAATAAGACAGTAGAAAGGTAATTTTCTAAAAACTACTTCCTGATATGTAATCAGAAGCATGTTTTTATGAGACTTTGAGGCTTGTAAGTAATTTTTGTATAACAGGGCAACCATATATATATATATATATATATATATATATATATATATATATATATATATATATGTATATATATATATATGTGTGTGTGTGTGGTTAGTATAACAGTTGGTTCACAATTCACTGAATTCGAGGAGCCAATGATTGTTCGCTGATCGCGTCCAATTCATGCTAAAGAAATTGCCACGGTTAGTGAGTCTGTTGTCACTGTAATCTTCATTATTTTTTAGTTTATATGTTAAAGGTTGTAGTGATTCAGGTGAATGCATTTCATTTGATGATGCATGATAACATGATGGTAGGTACGTTCAATCATTCAACAGCAGTTGGGAAGCTAAGAAAGAATTACCAGATGTTCCTACAGTGACAGTGAATTGTTTGTTTTTGTTGTTTGATAGGACATTGAGTACCTGAAGCTGTATAGTTCAAGATATGGGTGTGAAGAAGGGTTTGAGATACTAGAAAAAAACAGGGATATATCATGAAAAAAGAAAACAAGATAAGAAAAAGGTGAGACTACATTTCAATATTTCTGTTACGCTTACGCCAATCCGCCCAGGACCACTAGGAAACCAAATACCTGCAACATGAATGTCATAAACAAACATTACAACAGAAGCATATTAAGATGTCATATAACAGTCAAATTACCATCAACACTTCAAAAACTAACCAACAAACACAAGCCACAAGTATGCCAAGACCTAATCAAACATTCAAGTGTTAATCCCAGAACAAAAAAAAAACATCACACAAAAGGACAATTGCATGCCTTTCAAGAGATTGGACATGAATAAATAAATACTATAAATAAGTTGAAAACACCCACTCTTCTCTTGTCTAATTCTATCCATGCATCAAGACTCCAGCTACACCATCATACTAAATATTTAACCTAAATCTCACATTGCTACATGGCAGTTTCCATTAGCAAGAGTAAAGAACCTTCCTCTTTATGAGAAATTGCAGAAGCCTTCCTCCTTTGAAGACATAATGATGCTTTTTCCACCACTGACTTATATACTAATCATTTTTAGTAGTATTTTTACCACTAACTGCTAACTAACTCATGCCACCAACTTATAAGGAAAACATAGCACCATATATGTTCAATCTGCTAATTACCTAGACTTGGATAAATACAGCCCAAAATAATGATTAAAAAAACACCTTTGTATCTAATATGCACATATAAAGAAAGCTACTGCATTCCTAAGCTTCAAAAACCAGAATGGAAGAAAAATAGAGAGACAGAGAGAAAATTAAAGAGGATCAGGGGATAGAAGTAAACTATTGTTTATTAATAAATTTAGTTAATCACCCTCATTCCTATTGCAGTAAAAAATTCCTGGAGAGTTAATTTTCAAAGCTAGATTAAAAGAACGAAGATTAACCTAGAAGCAGAATATGTCTAATGCTACATTCACTAGATAGATTATCAGCAAATTCTTTCAAAAAAATAATAATATGATTGATACAAAGTAAAACAATCCCAAATTAGGGTAGTAGAGTAGTATACATCTTGGTTACCCATATTACTTCTATGTTTATTATTTATTCCATTTTTTACTATTACTACTATTCCTGGAGTTAGTATGGAGCTTATTGGAATTGGATACACTTGTTGTTGTAATGTTTACAAGTCAGAAGTATCTATCATAAAGAAACATCCTCCTACAAATTCTCCTTAATAGCTAAGGAAAATAAAAGGACAACACACCACCTAGTAAGCTCAAAGAACAAAGATCACAATAATAAGCATATGATTTAGTGCCCCTTGATGCACAACACAACACATGATCAAAATTTTACCTCTATCACTCATAGACATGATTGAACTGATGTAGAATCTTCAATCTTTTGCATGCAGTTTTTACATCTAAAGATGTAAAAACAGGAAAAAGTAACCAAATAGCCATCAAATCCAACAGATAAGAGAGTCTCATTACCAAATGTATAGTTACTTAACAACACTAGTTCAAGTTTACTGAAACATATAGATCTTAACGGGATTTATGGGTAAATGAATTTATAAAGTCTTATGCAATTGTGAATGTATATCAATCAACTTGACCACACCCCAATAGACATGATGCGGGGTGAGATTTTCAGAACATGTCGTTCTCAGTAGTTACCTTGTAGAGAAGAATCAAAATCACAGAATAGTTGCAGGTAATGTTGTTTTTGTTTAGGGCATGACATGCCATATAACACATGTTCCAAATGAGGGCTAATTTTGTAATTTCAGTTCTTATTTGCATGCAGGTCTGTTAATACTTTCTATATATAATACCTATTTAACTGATCATGTTCATAATTCATTCTCTTGAGGGCTAATTTAGTAATTTCACCTTTTTATTTTTCAGGCCGACAACTTGGAAGAAGCCAAAAATATTTCCAACAGAAATAAGTAAATTCATTCTATGCTTTCTGATGCTTGCAAATTCAAGGGTTTGCATGTTGGTGCTTCATAGTTGATATCGCTTATTTATTAGGTATTATAGGGATTCGTCTAGAAGAGGAATGAAAACCAGCGATTCATGGTTCAAACATTTGTCGAAGTCATAGTAACAGACGATATATATCTGATGGCATATCAGTTCTTTGTTGGACCAATGTCTTCTAACTTGTTCACTAGACATAATGATAAAAGTTTTGATGCTTTCACTTTGTAAGATGATATATATGTTATCTGTTCTTGAAATTACAGCAAAATGTATTTCACTTTGTGATTCTACTTGGTGCAAAAGTAGAAGACTATGCTATCTGTAACATTAGTAGGAAATTTGTTGGTAACTCAAGGTAAAGGTAGGTTTGGCATACAAGGCCAAGCCAGGTTGTGAATTCTTAGATGATATGTGATAAGCCTCAAGAACTTCTAGTTTACAGCAGGAGGGGTAGAAAGGTCAATAAATAATAAAGCAGCTTTGGAGTGTGGTGAAGTGTCTGTTTCCCTTTTTTTGCTTTATCCATCTGTTTCCGTTATTCCTTCAGGTGGTTATTACCTTAGCACTAATTTTGTTGTACTGATGTAATCATGGGGAATATTTCCAGCCGGGTTGTGGTCCCAGTGGTACCTATTTTGAGGTTTATTCCCTTAGGACTAGAAGAGTATTTAAACATTAAGTAAAAAATTATCGTCGCCTTTAATCACCCCATCTGTTCATCTTTACAGTTCCATTCTTGCAATCGATTTTGGACTTCATGAATCGACTTTGGACTTCAGGGGTCATAAGAGAAGCAAGCAGGACAAGGGTCGTAATGGAGCTCCCAACAGAGCAAGACAAAGGTAAAACTTCCTCGTTTTAGTTTGTACTTCTCAATTTGATTTGTGAAAAAGCTGCTAAATGAATTTTATATTTCTTTTGAAAAGTTGCATGTCTTTTGATTACACTAATGCTCCATCTCTTTTGATGTTGTTTTTTCTAGGCATGATGGTTGTGACATGTTGATGATTCCCATAACAACAATTGTGTATGGATTGAAGTTATCCTTTATACTTTGTCGTGAGGTTCCTGTGCTCTTTCAAAAGGTTATACGTTTGTCCTTCCATTGTTTTCATTTCTTCTTTGAAAAATCAAATCAAAGGAAGTTTATTGGTTCATGAATTGAGAATTGACAAATGCTTTAAGCGGTCTTTGGTGATATTTCAACCGTATAGAACTTAGGTTTGACACACCTCTATGATGTTTTGCATATATGCCATAATGCCATATTATATATTGATGATTGTTGGAATTCAATGGTTTCACTACAACAAAATTCCACATTCTAATTATGTTTGTTTTTGAGCATTGATAATGACATCATAGGTTTTACAGTTGCTTGCTATGTTGTATACACTTTCACCTTCAAACAAGTCATTGTCCATGTTGTCATCTTTTAGAAGTGTTCTATTAGAAAGCCAGTGGGCATCATTTTTCCATTAAGCATCACTTGGAACTCATCTAAATCATCAATTGGTTTCTCGTTTTGGAAAACACAAAGACCAAAACACCATTACTGATGTTCATGTAAGTATTTTGAACAAAGTGGCCTAGACATCATTATATGTCCTTCACAATCTAATTTCTAACAACATACTCAAATTTAGTTAGGATTTCTGCACGCATTGTATTAGTCATTAATCATGTTTGTGTGTTTTTTTTGTTTTTGCGTATTTTGTGCATCAGGTAAAGTTGATGGAAGAAAGGAATATGAAGCCACTTTATTTAAATCTTGCAGCATTATCAGCAAGATGCAGAAAACGGGATGAAAACGGACTTCAGATGAATAAGTTAGAAATTTATAATGGAGTTTTGTTGTCCCGGCCTACTAAAAATAAATATTAAAAAATAAATTCAAAATTAGCCAACGGAGTCTAAATGAAAGTTGTAGAGCAAAATCTCACCTACGCGTGGACATAATGAACGTAAAAAACGGAGCTCGTATCCCAAGCTTATGAATTTTTGAAGATCGTGGCACACATAGCAAAGCTTATCCGAAGCGTATGCCCAGCGTAACCAAAGTTACGCTCAGCGTAATCCCAGACCCAGCAGCCTATAAATAGAAACCGAGATCAGCCATTTTCTTTGTTCATTTTCTTCCTTTCTCTCTAAGTTTTGCATCGTTTTGCGTGCCAATTATATGCCGAAGCCCCGATATCATTCCCGAGCCCCGAAGTAAGTTCCGAAGTCCCGAGGATCCCGAGGAGCGTTATTCCTCAGCCGAAGCCCTGCCCGCAAGGAGCCCGGTTTTTGTGAAGATCTTCCAGATCTAGCGAAGAATACTACTTTTACAAGTTGTAGTATTGTCCGATCATCTTCTGATCATGTGAGTGTATAGTCACTTTCATCTTACACATAGATATAAAGTATTTTATAAAATACGTGCTATGTGTGTGTATATATATATATATATATATATATATGTATATAATGTTGTTTATATGTGTTAGTGAGTGGTTACTTTCTTCTAAAACCTAAACATGAAGTATTTGCTTTGAAATACGTGTTATGTGTTTATACATTATTTGTTTATTTTAAATAAGTGTTGAATTAATGTTTTATACAAATTTTAAACCATATATGTATTTTTTTTCTACAAAAGTTTTGGGTAAAGCATGGGTAGATAGTTGTTGTGTGTTAAAATGAAGAGAGGCCTCGATATCGTTGTTTTTGATTCAGTCATCTAGCGGAGTTTAGATGACGACCACATACTTTTCTAGACAGTCATGTGGAACACTAGCAGGCTCGCCACCTGTAGGTGTTAATGAACACTTGCAATGTATTATGAAAAAATCATCAAATTATAACATTGTATTTTCAACCTTTTCCGATCAAAGCTAAGATGTCATCATTTGATATAATGATAAGGATGCTTTCAACAATATACTTAACCATATGTTGACCGTACTTCATAATTTCCGTGGTCGTGTTTAGCACGGGCCTTTAACTTTTCTAGTGTGTGTTTGTATGTATATATATATATATATATATATATATATATATATATATATATATATATATATATATATACACACACACACACAATCGTGGTCTTTTAACAATCTTTTATATTCTTGTTATATTTGGATAAAATAAATTGAGATTATTTAATGCCATGTATTGATGTTTGATGTTAATTTTTTTTTGTTGATTTTTTAAAAGACAGATCACGTAAAAAGAAAAATCCAACATGAACACGGTAACCTTTTATTGCCGATTTAAGGGTGTTTGGATAAATTAGATTATAGCTTATAAGCTTATTTGCGGTGAGAATAAACAATAAACATTCTCTTTCTTCCCTATACAAACACCCCTTTAGTGGGTTATCATGATAAAGGTAACATTTTTCTTATTAAAATTATCCAACTTTAATATATTTTTCTTATATTGTAACGCCGTGTTTCTAAGCTAGACATTAATGATGATGTAATAGTCTAGGTCAACATTTGTAACTTGTTTTGAAATAATAAAGATGTATTATTTGAGTATTATATGCTTTATACTTAAGTATTATGATTTAATAAATTAAGGTTAAAAATAAGCGTTGAAAATAAATGTCATATAAACCCGATATTTATGAAGAAAGTGGTAGTGATTGAAACAATGATTTCGGAGATATAAAGAATATTGAAATCTGAGTTATAACGAAGAAGTTATGACCTATTGAAGTTTCGCGACAGAACTGACACAACGCTGTGTGACATAAAAAGTGAGTTTATGAAAAAGTTCTTTTTAACCTTAGCAATCTAAATGAAAGTCGTAGTACACATTAAACCAAGAGTGTGCATAAAAAGAATGTTCAAATCTGATTTCGTATGAGGATGTTATGAATTTTCTAAGATTTGACATAAGTAGTATACAACCCAGAACTCTAATTATAGATCGAACGTTTTTTAACTGACACAACCTAAACGAGAATCGAAGATCTTGTCGGTTGTAGTTTAACGGTAGAAATACAGACAGAAACAGACGTCGAATGAATAAGTTAAGAAATTTTAACGGACTTTTCTTGTTCCGGACTGTTAAAATATAACTTTAAAAATAAAGTCAAAATTAGCTGATGGAATCTAAACAAAAGTTGTAGAGTATAATCTCACCTACGTGTGGATATAAAGAACGTAAAAAACGGAGCCCATATGCGAAAAATATGAATTTTTGAAGTTTCAGGCACAAACCTCGAGGAGGCTATACGCCCAACATACTCGAATTACGCTCCGCGTACTTGAACAAGGTCCGAAATCATCTATGTTGCCTTTCCTTCGAATACAGACACATTTGTTGCCACACATCACTCTTCGCGTAACGTACTGGGTTTACGCCCAACGTAGAGAGCCACAAGGTAGTACGCCCAACGTTCGTTTAGATTACACCCAACGTAACCTGAGGCTTCGGCCACTATAAATAGAATGCGATGCATTCTGAAAATTGTTTAAAAAAGTTACTTCTTTCCACCTTCTACTTTCTTTTATGTTACAATAAATACCCCAAAGCCTAAGAAACCACCCCAACACCCGATGCAAGTCCCGAAGCACCTAAAGACCCGAGAAAATAAGTTTTTCGAGTCGAAACTCTACCCACATAAAGGCCAGTTTTTTAGAAAACATCTTGGATTCATCGAAAAAGATTGTTTTTAAGGACGAAGTGTTGTCCAATCACTATCCAATCATGTGAGTGTATAATCACTTTCATCTTATACATAGATATGAAGTATTTTATATAAAATACATGTTATATATATATACATATATATATACATATATATATATATATATATATATATATATATATATATATATTATTTGTTTATTTGAGATGGATGTTGAACGGATGTTTTATACATGTTTAGAATGATTTACACAATACATGTATTTTTATCTACAAAAATGTTGGGTATAACATGGGTAGATGAAATAGTTGATGTGTAATGAAATAAAATGGATGTTGACAATGTTCCAGTCATCTAACGGAATATAGATAACGACCACAGACTTTTCTAAACAGTCCAGTTGAACATTAACAGGCTCGTAACATGTAGAAGTTTTTGAACTATGTGTTCATTAGGTATTTTTTAACTATGTGTTTATCAGGTATTTTTGAACTATGTGTTCATTAGGTAAATTGTGTTCACTAGGTGATTGTGTTCATGTTTATCAAGTATTTTTGAACTATGTGTTCATTAGGTATTTTTGAACTAAGTGTTCACCAGGTGTTTTTGAACTAGGTGTTCATTAAGTATTTTTGAACTAAGTGTTCACCATATATTTTTGAACTATGTGTTTACCAAATGTTTTAAACTACGTCTTCACCGGTTGTAATTTAAGAACCCTGGCAGCGATGGACTTCATGCATATTCCTTAGTATAATCCTTAGGAATGAATGAATGAAGGACAGATGATTCTTAAGATATTTAAGAATAAAGAAGATAATGGGATGAGAAATTGGGTTGATTGTTTGATGATTAAACTTAATAAATTTATTTTTTGTGGGTTGAAAACCACATGTGCTCACCAGACTCCCAAACCTGACCCACTCAGCTTTGTATATTATAGGTAGTGGAATAAGAGCATAGTTGGACGATGATGATGAATTTTGGATTATAGGCCGATAGATGTAAATAACTGTTGTAAGACTTATATTGTTATGTTTATGTTTTTGATCTGTATCGATGTTGACATCCCGAGTTTTGTAATGAAATGAAAAATACATTTCTTTAATAAATGTTTTGATAATTTTTTATCATATTTTCATATTTCTATTGGAGATATTACTTTGATTTTATTTAGAAAACATAAACTAAATCGATATATTTTTGCCATGAAAATAAGGATGTCACATGCATGATCATTATAGCAATTTTTTTTCGTTGTTAAATGTGGGATTTTTATAAAGAAAAGTTATTAAATATGGTATTTTGTTAGACTTTTTTGTTTTCTTTAAACTTTTTGTTTGTATTTTTTTTAAGAAAATTGTTCATTTGTTATCATAATAACAATTTTTTTGTGATTTGACCACTTTAACATAATATGTTACGAGACCTTTTCAGCTTATATGACATTTTTTTAAACTTAAAATAAGATGTATAATATTTAGATGATTTGGTATCAACATATTTTGAAAATTTTAAAAATATTCAAAAATAATTATAAAATCCAAAAAATACCACATTTAACAATTTCTCTAAATTCAATATTTTTTTCTGACATAAAAGCACTGGTTTTAACCGAAAAAACAAATATAAAAAATATTATAGTGGTTAAATATCAGAAAAAATATGTTAAAGACTTAAAATTGGATAACTTTAATGAAAAAAAAAAAAATGAGGTGGGTGCGAGTGAGTTTCTAAATATTGAGATACACATATATGGGAAGTACCCTTAATTTTGGGCATTTAAAATAACAAAGAAATATGTTGCCTATTTAAATTAACGCCAAAATCCCACATCTTTCTTACACAAACTCACAATTGGCCTAAATGGAGACCTCGGAATCGATCTCCACTCCTGCCGTGACCATTGTCATCACTCCTCCAATACAAACCATCCCTCCACCACCACCAACCACCCTTTCTCCACCACCACCATCTTCACCGGAGTTCCTTGACTTACTCAGATGTAATCACCAAAATCTTTGGAACTGTTTCAGAAGAAAATTGAAAAGGTATATTGGGTGTTTCGAATCGGAAGATTCGAGTTCTTTGGAGATTAAAGGGGAATCCAAGAACGATAGTTTTGAAGGGGTTAGTAGCACAAGTACAGCCCCATCGCCAAATTATTATAGCTACATGAATCATGAAGAACGTGATGAGAAGCTTAAATCTGCCATTGTTTACTGTAAACACTCAACTAACTAACATCAAGGTTTGCTTTTATTTTGGAGTTACGTGTTTAGAGTCATTTATTCGTATATAAAACTTGCTTCAATAAATGGTTAAGAAAAGGGACACCATATTTGATGTTAGTTCTTTTGGTATTAAAAAGTTTTAGAGATTCTGTGCGTTCAATAAATAATATTGTATTTTTAGTGATTTGTTATTTCATTTTCCAGTATTATGATTTGAAAATCCAATAGCGACACCATTCAAATACAAAGAAAAATATTATAGTATAACACACAAAGGCACGAAAATAAATTTTTATTTCTTGCATTGGAAAAAATTCAAAAATTTTGGAAATTTTTTTAATAAAACCCTAAATTTATTTTTTGAACAAAAAAATCCTTACTTTTTCATTTTTTTGAATAGAAAATCTCAAAAAATCGACTAATTTATTCACTTTAGTCATTTTTAACCTGTTCAGCATATCATAGGACCAAATTATTAATTTTTTAAAAATAATGGGACGTTTTTTTTGCAGATTTCATTAAAATTTGTATATAATATATAAACATATTTTTTACGTATTTATATCAATTTTTCTTATTTGTTTATATTTTTAAGTTTTTATATGTATATATTTACGTATTTTTATATTTTTTAAATGTATAAACGGATTTTTTTTTTACTTATATGTATTTTTAACCATTTTACATATTTTTTTATGTATTTTTGTGTGTTATTTTTAATGTGTTATGAGTTTATATGTATTTTTATGTCTATATATATATATATATATATATATATATATATATATATATATATATATATATATAAAGTTTTTTTATATAGATATTTATATATTTTAAATGTATAAGTGTATTTTTTCCAAATTTATATCTATTTTTAAGTATTCTACATATTTTTTGGGTGTTTTTATGTGTTTCTTATATATTATGTATTTATATGTATTTTTGCGTATTTATGTATTTTTATAGTTTTTTTATATAGATGTTTATGTATTTTAAATCTTTTTCGTATTATTTTTACGTATTTATCTATTTTTTACTTCAAGTCGTCTTCACCATTTCATCTAATTCGTACAACTTCTTTGAGTATGTCTAGATGGTTTTAGTACATACCCATATATTTTAAGTTTTTTCCATTCGATGTTTAATTTTAAGATAAGTTAACGGAAAAAGTTTAAAATATGTGGGTATATAAGAAAACTATCTAAACATATTCGAAGAAGTTGTACGAGTTGGATTAAATAGTGAAGACGGCTTGAAGTAAAAAATACATAAATACGTTATATATATATATATATATATATATATATATATATATATATATATATATATATATATATAGTGAAAAGTGAATATACCCTTAAGGGTATATAAGCTTAGGTACCCAAACTCATCATACTACGTCGTTTTGTATTATATAATACATTATAATTGTTCAATATTCTTATAATTTAACTTCTAAGTTGATTTATTTCCATGATTTTTATAAATTAGACATTTATCTCCCTCTTACTTAATTTTCATTTTCAACTACAATAAATATAACTTAATAAGTGTTCGACAAAAAGATGCGACATAAGAGAAAGATAATATTGAAATTTCAAAAATTTTGAAATTAAATCAAGTTAGGTACCTAACCACATTATACTACATTGTTTTGCATTATATTTCCATTGCAATCGTTTAAGGTTCTTAAACTTCAACCCTTAACTTGATTTACTTCCAAGATTTTCAGACATTCACCATTATATTCCTCCTACACCATTAGATTTGTAACGGTAGTATATGAAACCCACCAGGGGGTCTTCGATAGAAATACGTCATTTGAAGGAAGATAATGGTGAAACTCCAAAGATTTTGAAAACAATCAAGTTATGAGATTAACTTTTAAGAACTTTGGGTGATTACAATGCAAATATGATACAAAATTACGTACTATGATGTGGTTACGTACCTAAGCTTATATAAGGTTGTTAGGTATATTCATTTTACCCATATATATATATATATATATATATATATATATATATATATATATATATATATATATATATATATAGACACACACACATTTAAAATACATAAACATATACATATAAAAACTTAAGAAGTACCAAAGTAGGTAAAAATAGATACAAATACATAAAAAATGTGTTTATACATTATATATAAGTTTTGACAAAATCTGCAGAAAAATCTCATTATTTTGGAAAATTAACGATTTAGTCATATGATCTGAACAGGTAAAAAAAAACTAAAATAAATAAATTAACCGTTTTTTTTTTTTTTTGGGTTTTTTCTATTCAAAAAGTTAAAAAGTTGGGATGTTTCTATTCAAAAAATAAAATTAATGACTTTATTAAAAATTTTCCAAAATACTGAGATTTTTCTGTAGATTTCCTTTTTCGCATTTATCCAAAAAAAAAAAAAAATCTGAATTCAAATGTAGCAAACGAATATGTAGATTATCAATAGTGCTCTCCTTATGAAAATTACAATAACTTACTTTTTGAAGTTTGGTTAATTTTAAGGGTTAAATGCAAAGAAAATGACTTACTTTTACACATGATCGTTGAGAGGCTAACGTACGAAAAATAAAAATAAGCATCTAAATGTAATTGTTTTTATAAAAAAAATCATTTATAAGTTGATAATTTTTATAAAATTAATCAAAACAAAAACTATCAATAAAAAATCATTTATAAGTTGATAATTGATAAAAAAATTAATCAAAATAAAAATTGTCAATAATCCAACACTAGATGTCACTGATCCACTGCTAATATTAATATACTTAAAAAAGCTATGGGTCATCAAAACAACATGGTCTGTGTGTGGTCGCGCACTTGCATTGCATTTGCATAAGCTCGGGGTCGGCCATGATTTTACTTTTTTACTAATTTATGTAAATTTAGATTATTTAACTAGAAGTATCGAACAACCAAAAAAACAAACCATGGTGTTGGGCTCTTGTTGATCACATTAAGGAATCCAAACACTTGGGCACTAATATTTCTTAGTTCTTAGGGTGTGTTTGGTTAAGTTTATTTATGACTTATTTTTCAAGTTTATTTTTTATAAGTTCATTTTTTCTAATTTATTTTTCAACTTTTGAGCTTATTATGACTTACATTACGAAAATAAATCGAACTCATAAAAAATAAGTCAGAAAATATGAGCTTATAAAAAATAAGCTTAGAAAATAGTTAGCCAAACACCCCCTTAATCCGCTTCTAACGCATCCAACCTTTAAAGCTTTCATAATTCATGTGGGTTGTCTTTCATAAATTGTATAAAATACAAACGTATTTTTCTTTTTTGTCAATATATACATTTTACTTTATTTACTATAACTATAACTAGTTGCGAAACTCATGTATTACATGAGTTAATTAAAAAAGATTAAATATAAAAGTTAAAATATTTGAAAACTTTAAATTTATAAGAAAATAAGAAAAATAATAAATTATTATAATACAAATGTCTTTTATCTTTTCAATTTAAATAAATAAAAAAGAAACTAATAAACTTTAATTTTGAGAATTTTAAAATTAAAAGGTAAATTCATTAATTAGATTGATATCCATTTATTACTACATTTATTGCAATTAATATATTAAAATATTATATGAATTTAATAAAATAGGAAAACATATAAAATGACATATGGACAAAAAAATTAATTTGAAATAATCATAAAATGAAATTTGACAAATTGAATGAGAACGTGACAAGTGACAAAAAAAAATAAATAGATAAAATAAAAAATAAAAAATTAACAATGGATCTCCATTTATTTACACATAACAACTTACTTATATTTATTTACATATAGATATAAATCTTACATAAGATACAATACTATGGTACAAATAAATGAAACATATATACACATGGATGATTTAATATTTAATTTAATTATTATGTGTACAAAAAAACCAAACACATAATTTTACACAAAATATAATTTATTACCTTTATAAATCATTAACATATACTAAATGTATCACCATTTATTTATTTTTCATATTTAGAAAATATTGTATTACATAGACTAAATTACAAGAATGAATCATATGGTATGTCACAACTCGTATGTTTGGTCCAAAAAAGTTTGGACTTAGACAAATAGATGAAATTTTTTTTTATTATTTTTTAGAACATACTGATTTTGCCTTTTATATTTTCCTTTTTTTTTTTAGATTTTTTATTATAGAATCAAAAAAATAAAAAATAAAAATAAAACTCTCTCTCTCTCTCTCTCTCTCTCTCTCTCTCTCTCTCTCTCTCTCCTTTGATTTAATGATAGAAGAAAGCAAAGACACTCTAACACTCTATTACCACATCGATCATGGAGTCATCGTCAAGAACATTTCTTCACCCACTTCACGAAATCTTCGACTCCAACCAACAAGCTTCTCTTAAAGCAATGGCTAAAAGAAGAACAGATTCTAGATCGAGTTGCTCTCAAAGAAACTCAGATCGATGTTATTCGAAAAGAAATCACTCACATCTACTGTTTCTTCTTGTTTCACTAGATATCACTACTGCAATCGATCATGGATCCCATCTCTCTGTTCGCTCCTCTGTTCTCTGGGGTCGACATATAATCAAATAGCCTGGGGTCGACTTTCATTGGTATGAGACCAAGTCTATGGGCAAGCATTTCATCTTGAATCCTGATGAATTGTTTGGAACGAGAACCTGCTATATGGAGAAAATGGGAAGTTGTATACAAAGAATGAAATTTTTTATGCAACTTAAAGAAAGGAATCAAGCCACAGATCTTAAAATCGAGCCACAAATTTGAACATATACAAAGCCAACGAGACGGGTCTAGATAGTTGGCAACATACAAGAACTCTAATGAGTTCAATCGAGAATAATCAATGTTCTCGAAGAATTGGTGTTGAATTTTCTTGGTTGTACTTGAGCTTCAAAGAGTTGGGTTTGTTCTTGCATATGTGTGTATTCATGTGTGGGGTTTGTTCTTTCAACAATAGGTTTTGT